CGAAGAATTATCCTGCTCGGTATTGATCCCCTGAAGCTATCCTTAACACCGCACCGAGGTGAGTTCAGCCGGTGTAGCGCCTCGGTGTAACCACTCTCAGATTTCCGCATGCATCCTGGCTCCCGAGACTCTTTCATTTAATTCGAAGAAATATCGACGTCCTGCACCGGTCAAAATCACCTCGATACATTCTCGCTTCATGACGTTTTTGTGGGCCTTTTTGGGGCCAAAACCTAGTTTGTCCTAGGTTGGCCCATCAAGAAACCCTACCTATATATGTTTTAGGCATTATCCAGCAGACTAAGCTTTATTCTCTTTGTTTTTCCTTTGCCTCTTTTGTGAAAAACCTAAACTTTGTAAGAGAGATCTTCATTTTCTGGGTTGAATCAAGAGAGTAATTAGGGTTTAAAGCTGAAATCCATCATTATCTATCATCTCCATCTTCAACTTCCATCCCCTTGTGAGTTTTAATCAGAGAGATTGAGAGATTTCTGTGTTTGAAGCTGCAAACCCAACATCATACATCTTCTCCATCTCCATTTCTCATCATTAATCATGCCAATCCTCTCAACTTGCAAAGGTTTAAGAGAGATTAGTATGATTAGTGAGTAGTTTAGCTTAATGGGGTTCTAGATGTGTAGGTTAGGGTGCTAAGGTGTTAGATTAGGAGTGCTCAGGGCTAGATTCATTGGTTCATTTCTCTAAACAGCTGTTCTCTGGCTAGATCCTTGCATATCACTTGTGATCTAGATTCTGGGAATTTCATGCACCACAAGTGTTTGATGAAATTCTTGAAAGAGTTGTATTAGAGGTTTAAGCATTTGCTGCATGATGATGTTTTGTTATTTGATTGAATGATATTTTAGAACTGTTTCTTAATGCTCATTGATTCATATTTCACAAATGATGATTTGGTTTGAAAATCGATTAGTGTAGAGGTTAATGCCTTCATGAGAGGATTAATCTAGATTAGAGTTCTAAATCACTTGAATCATGTCTCATCAGTGTCATTAGCATTCCTGATTTAGCATCAAAGCACCCTAGCCAACTATCATGTCTAGAATCTCATGCTTCCATCATCTCATATTCATACCACTTGTCATTTGCTTGTTTAAGTTGATCATTAGCTTTAATTCTTGTTTTAAGCTTGTATAGTGGAAGTAACATCAAAACATCACTCATTTGGCTTGAATTAAGAACTGATCCTGCATCTTAGTGTCTACACATGATGGATTGATACCCTTTGTACTGCAAAGTGATGAAAGAGATTGATAACCCCTCATTTAGAGTCTTGAAAACTCTAGTTATCAATCTTTGAACTTTTCTGCATCAAAATCTCCTCAAGACAACTCCTAAACCGCCTTAGACCTGCACATACTCAAGAAAACACATCAAGAGTCCTAAAAATTTAAAAGAAAATATGAAAGAAGTATATACAAGTGATAAGCTTGGGGTGTCTCCCAAGAACACTTTGTTTAATGTCACTTAGTTTGACATTGAAAACCTGTTTAACAGGCGTGGTGGATCATTAAGAAGAATTGTAGAAGTCTCCTCTCTCTTCTCAGAAACAAGGTAATGCTTGACCCTTTGTCCATTCACAACAAAACCCTTTCCATCTTTTCCCTCCAAGACCAAAGCTCCATAGCTTCTAACCTCTAAAACCCTGAATGGTCCTGACCATCTTGACCTTAACTTACCAGGAAATAGCTTGAGCCTTGAGTTAAATAAATGAACCAGATCTCCTACCTTAAACTCCCTCTTGAGAATTTTCTGATCATGCAAGATCTTGGTCTTCTCCTTGTATATCCTTGCACTCTCAAATGCATTGAGTCTGATCTCTTCAAGTTCGTGCAAATGGAGTAGCCTCTTCTCTTGGGCTGTCTTAATGTCAAAGTTCAACATTTTAACAGCCCAAAGAGCTTTGTACTCAAGCTCTACTGGTAAGTGGCAGCTCTTTCCATATAGAAGTGTGAAGGGAGATATGCCAATAGGTGTCTTGAAAACAGTCCTATAGGCCCAAAGAGCATCATCCAATTTCTTGCTCCAATCTTTCCTTGAGTTGCTCACTGTCCTTTCTAAGATGGCCTTGATCTGTCTGTTTGAAACCTCTACTTGGCATCTGGTCTGAGGGTGGTATGGACTAGCTATCTTGTGCTTGACACCATGCTTCCTTAGGAGCCCCTCTAGAGTCTTGTTCACAAAATGAGAACCTCCATCACTTATCACCACTCTAGGAACCCCAAACCTTGGGAAAATGGTGCTTTTGAAGAGCGTGACCACCACTTTAGAGTCATTGGTTGGGGAAGCAACAGCCTCAACCCATTTGGAAACATAATCCATATCAACAAGTATGTACTGATTCCCATATGAGCTAACAAAAAGACCCATGAAGTCAATACCCCAGCAGTCAAAAATCTCCACTTCCAAGATGGGATTTTGGGGCATCTCATGTCTTTTGGATATATTTCCATGCATCTGACAAGCATCACAGGTAGACACAACAACCTGAGCATCTCTGAACATTGTAGGCCACCAGAAACCACATTGTAACACCTTGGCCACTGTCTTGAAAGTTCCTACATGACCTCCATAAGCTGAACCATGATATTCTTGTAGCACTGGTTGCATCTCTTCCTCAGCTAAACATCTCCTATACAGGTGGTCTTTGTTCAGCACATACAAATAAGGTTCATCCCAATGATACCTTTGCACCTCCTTGAAGAATCTCTTTCTCTTGTGGCTCTACACCACAAGAGAGATAGTTAACAATGTCTGCAAACCAAGGTAAACTCCTCTCTCTTATAGCATCAGCCTGTTCCACCTTTAAGTAGGTCTTGACAACCATTAGATGCTCTTCAGGAAGTGAGTCATCTAAGGGGACATCTAATTCCACTCTCAGCCTAGAAAGATGGTCAGCAGCTCCATTTTCAATGCCCTTCTTGTCCTGCACTTCCATATCAAAATTCTTGCAGGAGAAGAACCCACCTCAAGAATCTAGGCTTGGCGTCCTTCTTGGTCATGAGATATCTGAGGGCTGCATTATCAGTGTACACAATGACTTTTGAACCCACAAGGTAGCTTCTGAATTTATCAAATGCATAAACTATGGCCAGCATTTCCTTTTCTGTGGTTGCATACTTTTCCTGAGCAGAATCAAGGGTCCTACTGGCATAGTAAATAATATGAAGTTTTCTGTCCTTCCTCTGGCCAAGCACAGCTCCAACTGCATAGTCTAAAGCATCTGTCATCACTTCAAAGGGTAATGACCAATCAGGAGCCTGAACAATTGGTGCACTGATCAATGCCTCCTTGATCTTCTTGTAAGCTTCCTCACACTCAGCATCAAAGACAAATTCAACCTCTTTGCACAACAGCCTTGTCAAAGGCCTAGCTATTCTTGAGAAGTCTTTAATGATTCTCCTGTAAAACCCTGCATGTCGAAGAAAGCTTCTTATGCCCTTGACTGAATTTGGAGCTTGCAAATTCACCATCACTTCCACCTTTGCTCTGTCCACTTCTATTCCAGCTTCTGAGACCTTGTGCCCCAAGACTATTCCCTCTTGAACCATGGAGTGACATTTTTCCCAATTTAACACCAAGCTGTGCTCCTCACATCTGTCCAGGACCTGAGACAGATTAGACAAACAAGAGGAGAAAGAGTGTCCATAGACTCAGAAGTCATCCATGAAGACTTCTACTTTCTCCTCAATCAGATACGAAAAAATAGACATCATACAATGCTGGAAAGTAGTAGGAGCATTGCACTGCCCAAATGGCATGCACCTATAAGCAAATGTCCCATAGGGATTTGAAAGAATCCAGAGTAACCATCTAGAAAACAAAGAAGGGATGGTTTGCAAGCCTCTCTAGCATTTGGTCAATAAAAGGCAAATGAAAATGGTCCTTCCTAGAGGCTGCATTGAGCTTACTATTATCTATACACATCTTGTGTCCAGTTATAGTCCTTGTGGCAATTAGCTAATCCCTTTCATTCTTTATCACTGTCATTCCCCCCTTCTTGGGCACCACATGTACTGGTGAAACCCATATAGAGTCTGAGATTGGATAAATTATCCCAGCATCTAGGAGTTTGAGAATCTCTTTCTTCACTACCTCTTTAAGTTGGGATTGAGACACCTTTGGTGCTCAATGGATGACATAGATTCCTCTTCTAGGTGAATCCTATGAGTGCATAGAAAGGGTGAGATACCCTTTATGTCATCCAAAGAGTAGCAAATGGCTCTCCTATGTTTCCTCAACTCTTCTAACAACTTATGTTCTTGGTCCTCTAATAGCTTATCATTGATAATAACAGGATAAGACTCATTGAGACCTAAGAAAGTTAACCTGAGCCCCTTGGGAAGAGGTCTGAGTTCCACTTTAGGTGCCTTGCTTGCATCCCAATCTCCTTCCCAAGCTGTTTGAGAGGCTTGTTGCAGCTGTTCTCCTTGTGTTTCCCCTTCAGCATTGTTGTCTTGCTCTTGAACCAGCTCCTGAGCCTCTTGAAACTTGGTTTCACCCTTAGCCGCCATGGTAATATCAACTAACTTTTGGTCGGTATAGTCAGTCGATCTACACTCGGCGGAAACCATCTTATAACGCCGACCAGCCACACCGAGTGAATGTCCCTCGGTGGTGGCCCTGCTTGCTGATACCGACTCAATTTTGCTCGGTGCCCTTGGTCGATATTCAGTCGGTGAACTTGCCTCAAAATATTGAGCACTCATACCGGCTGAAACTCCCTTGGTACTGACCGTGTATGCTAATACCGACTGAGTTTCACTCGGTGCATTTGGTCTGGATTCACTCGGCAAAATGGTTCCCTCAGCACCAAGCAATATACCTCCTGAATTTTGGTCGACATGAATGCAACCCCTTGGCGTTTCTGAGCTTCTAAACTGGTCTTCTTCAACCTCTGATCCTACATAGTGCAAGTTCAAGTAAGAACTGGTGCTCGCCTCTGGTTTGTGAGAGTCTAACAGCTTCATGAACTTCAAAGTTTAATCCTCAAGATAGCCATGATCTCCATGCTCCTTTGTTAAAGCTATCTGAAGATAATCTTCTGTGTTTAACTCTTCTAGGAGCTCATCAGCAAGCTCATCCATGGTCTCAACATAGAAAACCTGCCCTTCTATTGTTGGCTTCTTCATCATTTCATTAACATCAAACTTCAGCCTTTCAGAACCAAGTTGCAGCTCAATTATGCCTTTTCTTACATCAATGATTCCTCCTGCTGTGGCTAAGAATGGCTTGCCCAAAATAAGAGGGTCAACTGGTTCCTCAACCATTTCTAGAACCATAAAGTCAGTAGGCACTTCGAAACCTCCTATTTTCACTGGTAGATCTTCTAGCATCCCAATAGGCAACCTCACAGATCTATCAGCAAGAACAAGTGAAATCTTTGCTGGTTTGAAGGTTCTATACCCCAGTTTTCTTGCAGAGAATAGCATTAAGCTGACTGATGCACCCAAGTCACAAAGACATCCAGCAAACATCAAAGGTCCTATAGCACAAGAGAGAGTGAAGCTCCCAGGATCAGTTAACTTCCTTGGAATTGACTTTCTCTGAATAATGGCACTGCACTCATGACTCAATACCACCATACCTTGAAGCTCTTTAGTCTTGTTCAGGATAACTTCTTTTAAGAACTTACCCAGCTTTGGCATCATTAGAAATGCTTCAATGAGAGGCATTGTAAGAGGTGTCTCATTAAGAGTCTTCTCAAAGAGTGCATTTGCTTTATCTACAATCTGCTTCTTGAATCTTCTTGGATATAGGAGCTTAGGTTGATAGGGAGGTGGTGGAACATAAGGCTTTTCTGGTTCTGATGGCTTTTCCACCTCTTTTTCCTTCCCTTTCTTTGATCTTTCAGCTTCTTGGTCATCCCTTGGGGCTGCCTCCCCACTAATTTGATCATTGTCCTCAATGATCACATTGTTGTGCTCTATACCTGGTAGCTCTTTGTCACTTCTCAATGTAATGGCTTTAGCATACTCCTTTGGGTTTGGTTCAGGCTTACCAGGTAAGCCACCTTGGCTTCTTGAAGTGGATGCCTGATTCTGTTTCAGCTCCATTATGTGCTGCTGCATAGATGCATACTGACTTGCAAACATTTGTTGACCCTGAAGCAGCTGTTGTAGAATCCCAACCATATCTGGCCCCATCTGATGCTGCTGGTTAACCGGTGCTGACTGAAACTGATGCTGAAACTGTGTTTGTCCAAACCCTGGTGGTGCTTTTGGCTGCTGCTGTGAACTGAAACTAGAACCCTGCACTGGTTGCTGCTGATGCTGACTGTAACCCTGATTCTGAACAAACTGATTCTTTGGTTGAAAGGACCCTTGGAAGTTGTTATTGGGAACAAAATTCTGTGGAGCTTGAGAACTAGGGTAAACTTGGTCTTGTGGGTTGGCTACATTGGGATTCCTGTAAAAGAGGTTCTGATTGGCATTGGCATATTGATATGTTTGGAACCTCTGATTCCCAATATAGTTCAGCTCTTCTTGAGTAAGACCCTGTTCACTGATGTTCTCAAAGCATTGAGAAGGTTCCTCAAACTCTCCTACAAAGTGCATTGGCTTTTGAGTGGCCAATAACACCTTGTCCAGCTCGCTTTCAAGTGTTGTAAAGTCCTTCTCATACCTTTGATCCCTGCTTGAACTCTCACTCCTATTGGCTCTATCAAAGTCTTCTCCATACGTGTCATTGCTCATTGCTAAGTTCTCTACCAGCTCTAAAGCAGCATGAATCTCCTTCCCCAGAAAGCTTACATTTGATGTAGTATCCAGCTGGTTCCTAATCTTGGGAAGAGACCTTCTATAAAGTGTTCTGAGAAGAGAAGCCTCACTAAACCCCTGGTGTGGGCATTGGTTAGTGTAGCTCCTAAAACTCTCATATGCTTCACCAAAACTCTCATTGCTATGTTGAGTGAAGCTGGAGATTTGGTTTCTCAGCTTTGCTTTTCTGGAAATTGAGAAGAACTTAGACAGAAATGCCTACTTGCATTGCTCCCAGGTTTGAATGGAGACTCTTGGAAACTTCTTCTCCCATTGGTGTGCTTTGTCACCAAGACTGAAGGGGAATAATCTGAGTTTAAAGCTGTCCTCAGATACTCCATTTATCTTTTTCAAGTCACAAACTTTATCAAACTGGTCCAAGTGTTCCAAAGGATCTTCCATTGGCAATCCATGGAACTTGGAGTTTTGGACCATATTTAGCAAAGATGCCTTAACTTCAAAATTGTTGTTCTGCACCGGGGGTGCTTGAATCCCTGCTCCATACTGATTCAAAACATTGCTAGAGAGTAAATTTGATAAGATCTTAGCTTAAACTTTTCAAACTGGAGTCACGGACGTATGAATACGCCACTGTCGTGATCATAGACAACTATCTGTCTCAACCCTGACCAGTAGGTTTCCACTCTGGCCCTGGAAAAGAAGAGGTGCATTATGTTTAAGACTCGTCAGCATTCACAAATCGCCCATAGGTAGGTCTCCACTCCTATGTTTGTTTTGCTCTCCCAAACTAGATCTGACACCGGATGAACACTTTCGTGTCACCAAGCATCTGGATCAGATCGTAGTTCATGACGCTACTCTCATGCAGTAAAAACGAATTCAGAAGAAAAAGTTATAAGATTCGGCTCAATAGCCAATGGAATCTTCACCGAACATATATATCCCCATCGAAAATCCCTTAATCCCAACAATAAAACTACTCTCATGCAGTAAAAACGAATTCAGAAGAAAAAGTTCTAAGATTCGGCTCAAAAGCTCATGGAATCCTCACCGAACATATAAATCCCCATCGAAAATCCCTTGGTCCCAACAATAAAACTACTCAGACATGATGAACGAAATCAAAAACATAGTATTAAAAAGTAGAATAGACACCGAAATTGAAAAAGAAAGAACAAGGGTTCAAGCGACAAATCTCTCTCTCCCTAAAACCTAAAACTTAAAAAGTAATCTAAAACAATAAGAGCATATGAGGTGATATGAATTAGGGTTCCTAAAACATGTATTTATAGTGCTCAAGACATCTCTAGGGTCTAGGGTTCTGATATGGGCTTCAGAAATGGGCCTTTGGAGTTGGAGTTAGCTGGACGCGGTCCGGGAGCTTGTGACCACGAGGAATGGATGGCTGGCCGCGGTCGGGATGCTTGTGACCGCGGGGAATGGTCTGTTGGCCGCGGGTGGAAACGCTTGCCGGCTGGTTTACAGGACATGTTGCTCTTCGCGTATCTTTTGATTGAACCGTTGGATTGCCAAGCTGTAAAGTGTGCTGGAAAGCTGGTACTTCCATCTTTAGGATATCCAAATTTGAGCTGGATCAGACGGTGAGAAGGCCTTCAATCGGGGGTGAAATTCTGACGGTTTGACTCTGAGCTGAAATCTTTGTCTTCTATCCATTTTATTAAGCTTTTCCCTAAGTTTCCTGAAAAGAGTCTTGGAACTACAAATACTAGAAAAACGTAATAAAAGTACTTAAAAGCAATTAAAAAACATAGAAAAATTATTTCAAAACGATCCGTAAAAGTGGTCAAAATACGGTGTTATCATAGTATAAACAACTTATAAGAGATGAGATCAAGAATATGGTTTGGAAACTTAGAAATCCTAATCGAATATGGACTTCTATCGATGATTCTTTAGAAACTTGACTCTCTGCGATAAATCTACATGATGCAGAAAATAATAAAAGACATGAATGAATGCATAAGATGGAATAGAAAAGCTAACCATATCAAGCTGACCGCACCAAACTTTGCTGGAAAAGTTGATCCAGAGACGTATCTAGATTGGGAGAAGAGGATGGACCACATCTTCAACTATTACAATCATCCCGGCCCCAAGAGAGTTGCACTAGCCATAGCTCAACTCACCGATGGTGCCCTTATATGGTGGGAAACAGAAGTGTCAGACCGCAAGAGAAGCCGCCTGTGAGCTATTGATACATGGGTCGACATGAAAAACATGATGTGGCAAAGGTTGTGAGATTTATAGAATAGCAGCGGATTAAGCAAGAATATAGAGAGATTAAGATGAGATTAATGAAGAACTAAAGAAAAGAAGAGAGAATCAAGAGTCTTAGAGAGAAAGAGATGTATTCTGATTTCCTTAGTTCTATAAAAAAACGGCTACAAATGTTTAAATAGGGAGACAAGGAAAACTGAACATATATGGGCCACCCTTAACATATGTTGGCTTATGTAAATGGGCATACTAAATGCCTTATAAAACAACTTATAAAACCTTATAAAGTCTTATAAAGCCTTCTAAAGTCTTATAAAGTCCATGCTAAACACTTCACATTGGTTTCAGAAGAGGTGAGAATGATCCATCTTGTTTAACACTCCCCTTCAAGCTAAGTCCTAAGGAAGCTGAAGACTTAGCTTTGAATTTAGGAGACTCACCTCATTAAAAACCTAAGTATGGATAACCCAATGGGACAAAACAATACTTAGGGAAAAAGAGTGCGAGCCCTTCACTTAGGGGATTCCAAGCATTGGAGGTTCATGAGTCCTCATCTCTCACTGATGTACTCCAAGGTCTTCATACTTGTAGCTTTGGTGAAGATATCGTCTAGCTAATCTGAACTCCTTGGGTAACATGGTAGAATGACCCCAAGCTCCATCTGCTCTTTAACTTTGTGGCAGTCCACCTCAATGTGCTTAGTTCTTTCATGGAACACCTGTTTTGAGGTAATGTGGATTGCGGATTGGTTATCACAGTTCACAGTGATCGGCTTTGAGGACTCTATACCCAGATCCGAGAGAAGCATCTTCAACCACATCAGTTCAGTTGTAAGTCTCCTCATACTCTATATTCAGCTTCTGCACTTGAACAGGCCACAACCTTTTGCTTCTTGCTCTTCCAAGTTACTAGGTTTCCTCCTATAAAGGTGCAATAGCCTGTAGTTGATCTTCTATCTGTTCTATCACCAGCCCAATCAGCATCACAATAGCCCACTATCTCTGAGCTCCCATTGCATCCCATCCATATTCCTTGCTCTAAGGTTCCTTTGAGATATCTTAAGATGCGGTTTACCATATTCCAATGAGAAATCCTTGGGGCTTGCATATGTTGGCTTACCTGATTCACAACAAAGCACAAGTCAGGTCGAGTTATTGTAAGGTATATAAGCTCACTAAGGATCCAGGGCGTTTTTCCTTCACTTGTTCAACTCTGAATTGAATTTTCAGATTGTTTATGTGATTCTGGTGCTAATGTTATGTCAAAATCTGTTGCTGAGAAACTTGGTATAGGTACATTTGTCCCATCTCCAGTAAGGATAATCTTTGGTGATTCATATCAAAAGAGAACAGAAGGAATGATCCAGGACTTGCCACTGATCATTGGAAACAAAATAATACCGGCCGGTTTTCAAGTTTTGGAGATGGACAAAGACAAAGATAGACCTTTGATATTTGGTCGTCCATTCTTAACTACTGTAGGTGCTGTTATTGACCATGCAAATCACTGTTTAGTTTTCTTAAATGTGGACAAGAAAATGTTCTATAAGACCACACCAGACACAGCTCCAAATCGAAAAGACAATAACAAGGAGAAGGTGTTGGATGACAAAAAAGGAAATACAAGCACTTGCATCCAGGAAATTTGAGAAGATCAAGATAGTGGTGCCACCAGATATCAGCAAGGAGAAAGAGAAAAATCTTGAAGGATTTGTTGAGAAGACAAAACATGTCTTGAAAGATGCAAAAATCTTTAAGAAAGGAAAGGAGATTGTGATTCAAGATGAAGGAAATCCAAAGTTCAGACTAAGAAGGATCCCAAGGACTCTTAATTCAGGGGATCCTATCTCTTCTTCTCAATCCTAATCCTGCCAAGAGTCTAGCTAAAAGACTTTAAACAATAATGGGAGACAACCCATTTGGTATGATTTTCTTTTCTTTTTATTTCTTTTCTATTTGATCTTTTATTTTATTTTTTATGCATTTCAGGCTTTCATAAAATCCAGAAAAAACCCAAAACACTAAAAAAACCAGAAAATACAAAAAGATAGGAGGAAGAAACAGGAAAACGGTAGAAACCGGGAATTCCCGGGGTACAGTTCACCACGGCCGCGATCAATTCAGCCGCGGCCGGCCCATCATTTACTGCAGCCCATGTCCCTTGCCCGCGGCCAAATACACATCTGCCGCGGCCGAGCGCGTCTCACCCGCGGCCGGCCATGGTTTGGTTCCCAAGCGAGTTTTCCATGTTTCCCGATAACTGGAACTTCAATTTCCCGTTTTATTCCGGGATTTAACCAGGATGTTCCCGAAGCATAATTTTTGGGTTAAACACGCCAGGTAAGTCTTCTAAACTTTTCAAAAATAAATTTTTCTTAGGAAAACACCTTTTTCAATGAAAAAGAGGATTTAAAAGATCAAAAAGGTCTTTCTCTATATCTTCTTCAACAAGCTTGGAGATCTTGAGAAAAAGACAGCTTTCAAACTTGACAAATCCTTTCCAAATTTTCAAACATATCTCACCCTTTTTCCAAGGAGACTTCAAATCTGTCATCACATAACACTTTTATCAAGGTATGAGCTCAAATTTCTCACTTTTCCTTAAGAACTCAGATTTAGGGTTTTCTTAAATAAGTACAAATTCACCTTTGAATGATTGGATATTGTCTTTGAACTTAAGACTAGACTAATGGGTAGTTTAATTGAATGATTAAACACTTAGA